AGCATATGTCTATAGGACTTTTTTTCTTAGTTTTTTACTCCTCTACACGCTCCCGAAGTTTTGCCATTTAATTTGGAAACACCCTGTATATAATGATCGGTATGCGTGGTGCGGCTTAACTTGTATTTTAGAGCAGTACTCGTAAGGATTTGCACATTTCGGGCAATGTTCCAGGTCACTGAAAAATCTTCCGCGCATGCGCAAAAATCCTTCAATGCCATAAGAAAACCTTCCACCAGCATCAACCGAGCCCAACTAACAAAAAAAGAAAGTTTAATCGATCTCGAAAAGAGATATATGCGTAGGTAATATATATTTTTTATTTAATTCATATTGGAAGTGAAAATGTCTCAACACAAACGTATAATATAATAAAATGTCTTGACATGAAACAACAAAAAAGTTTTTATAAACATGTACCCCATTTGGCTTTATTTCCAAATATATTAATATTTACCCTGGTGGAAAAATGTTGCTGAAATTATTCCACGTTTTGGAACACTTTTCAACAAAGTTTCAGCATTTCAAAAAAATTTTAGTTTAATTTCAGCGATTTTTAGCTGAAAAATTTATTTTCGACAAAATTTCAGAAAAATTTTAGCAAAATTTTCAGACAAATTTCAGCAAGAATTTCAGAGAAATTTCAAAAAATTTCAAAGAAATTTCGGTTGGATTTCAGTGATTTTTCAGTATGTTAGCTAAAAAATTCACTTTCAGTGAAATTTCAGCAAATTTTCAGTAATTTCGCTGAAATGTTCCAAAACGTGAAATAATTTCAGCGAAACTTTTTCACTAGGGTAACTTTTACCTATACGATAGTAAATCCATTGCCAATTGCTAGCACGTTCTCCCCGCATGCCCGCATCTGCCCATATGCGCAAAGGTGCGTTCTAAAACATATCAACGTTAATCAAAACTCCATAGTTTACGGGTGCGGTCGATTGCCACTTTCAAATGCTTCAAACGTTTTCATTTTCAATGCTTCTATGGAACGGTCAAATAGCGCTACAAATGTTGTCAACACTAGTTAAGTTGATCGGTCTAACGCGTTCTGAAGTGTATCCAAGCATTAGCATTTATTTTCGAGGCAACCTAGAAAAAAATTTACATAAATTTTTACGAAAGTGGGAACAAAAGTTCATAAAAATGAATGATATTATGGCAATATATATTGCACAAAATTATTTAAAATGTACAAAATATCTGTACGATGATGACGATATAATGGACATGATAATAATCTCTGAATATGAAAAAAAAAGAAAATGTATTTATAATATTGAAAATTATTCAATGTTAGATAAGGCATTTTTTATGTTTTTCAATACTTTATAGGTCACACGATCCACCATCACACGATCGATTCGCAGTAGATAGTTCTTACCTAACCAAATAACCATACACATTTCCCGCATTTTGCGAAGATTCAAAAAACGCTTCAGCCGTACTACCTCTTCGGCTGTAGCATTGGAAGCGAAATAGAGGGAGAAATCTGTGACGT